TTTGCTGCCTGTAGGCCGATCGATAGCCTGCTGTGCGCGCGCCGCTTGCGCAAGCTATCTATCTGTTAGGCGTCTGCTAACAGAGTAATCATGGGACTGGGCGCATTCCCAGCAGGGTCAAAAATGAAAATGCGGTCAATGGACAGTTCAACCGTCGCTCTCGATGATGTCCACCACGTGGCTCCCTTGGGATTATAGTGGAAGTAACCTTGCGGAGAATCTGCCCCACTCACCACTCTGACACTTGCTCTCGGTGCCAAGACAAAAGTCGAGAAGATCGGAGATAGGGAAGGGCGCAGACGGTGTGCGCGAAACACTCTAACTTGTGCCACAACAAGAGCAGTTTCTTAGATAGACTCCCGCGTGGGAGCGCCATAAAGGGCGCATTAAGTAGGAGCCATTGCAGCCTGACTCTCAGCCCGCAGTAAGTCACTCCACTCTACACAACAAGAAACACACTGGACTGGCTGTGGTGTCCAAGTTATCCAGTCAGTTGGCAGCCCTCTAAGCCACGGCTTTTAGCGCACCGTGATAGCTTCAAACGCATCAGATTGGTTATAGTGAGGAAATGAATACGCTGAGAGTCTACGTCACCCTCTCCTCCACTACCAGCAAGAGACCACAGCCCAGCTGATCGGTCGCCCGAGGTGGGATGGGTCAATTACAGTCGTTATTACATGCAAACTAGTCATGGGAATAGGAGGCTGGCTACGCGACAGTGAGGCCGGTGAGAATTTATTGAAAGCTTACACATGTTCGCCGACTGTTTTTCTGAATTCTCCGATGAAACTTGTGCAGCTTTAAAACGCACCTCACATTATTGACCGTATCTGTCTCTCCTGTCTGACGTGTTATCTGCCTCCGTGTCTGTCCTCAATCTGTCAACCTTTAGGCGTCCACACGAAACTGTCATTTTTTGTCTTCTTCATAGTTGAAAAACATGAATCCGTTCCTGTTTGGCGACAGCGCCGACAATGATGATTCGCGGAAGAAGCTGGTAACACTTTGTGGTCGCTTGGAAGATGTAAGCTCCTTTTACCTTGTCTTGGATACGCAACCTGCCATTTATGCTTCGTTCATGCGCCGCACTTATACTGGATGTTGGTCCTTGCTTTTTGTGAATTCTAGATAATTTCCGGTAAACTGAAGAATGTGCACCTGGAGGTCTCCGATCCGACGGGCAACAGTTATGTCCAGGTAGGTTACCAATCTGTTCAGAAGTAATTCTTGACTGCCTACC